TGTTGAAAACATTAACTTGATACTGAGTCTACCAGATATAAAAGGATAATTTCATTGAGTTTTCGGATTTCTATCTCAAATGAAACGAGAAGTGGGCTATATCTGCTCACGGTAAGCTACTCCTGCCATTTCCAAGATTAGACACTCGAAAATCTGTATAAGAGGAAACATATCGATACCGAAGTTTATAAACTAAGTAGCTCCGTAATTTACGATATTTTAGGAGAGACATAATTGAAGTGTTAACTGTTGTTTTATAGTTTGTGTTTGTGGATATTTGTTTCTTTTAAGAATTTTAACACAATTTGATTACAGTAACATTGAGATCTACACAGTTGAGAAATTGAAAAGATACCTTCTGATTAGACTTAGATATGTGAGGTCACCTATACCTAGTTAGGAATAAGGACCCTGTCATGGTTCAAAAAAGCTCGACACTACTCAAAAGATCAGCTCGGCCCGAAAGCTCAAACACTCCGCTCTGGCTAGAACTCTTATAAATGCCGCTCGGCTCAAAGCGAGGCTAGTGCCGAGCCGAGCATTGGTTCAGTTCCAAATACATCCCCATACTCTGTCCAACCAAGCATATGAGTGATCCACAACATTATCATGCATAGTACTCGTGATATCCCAGACAAGGCTGTTTGTACAGAGTCGCACTAAGGAACGACCGAAATTTTATTATTTTTTTAATAATGTGCGGCTGGGCATAGGAAATTTGTTCATGAAGGGTCACAAACTAGCAGTATCTTCAGCCGTATCAGTACTTGACATTTTAAAAATTTCAAACTTCAAAATACCGTATATGTACACACCACAGGCGTTAACACGTAACTGACCACTCCGACGTAACAATGAATTCCGTCAGGCGATTGCCGTTAAATCTGATTGACCAGCATAAGGAGGCAAATGTGCGTGGTGATCATGCTTTTATTACGCATCTATCTATCTTTGTTAAGTTTTTTTTTTGGTGGATTTATATACAGTTTAGTTCGGTAGTTTTTGAGTTCATTGCGTTCAGACATACGCAGCGGAGGCTTTTGTTATATGTGAGATGATCAATTATCAATTTCCGTGGTGACTTTTGCAAAATTTATAAAGATATTTTTTCCCACCAACTTTATGTTTTACTTGTGTTTTCCATAAATATTTATTTCGATTATGTAACTCATCACTATATGCTTCCAGGAAATCTAGCATTTAATTTTGTTTCGCGTTAATTGATCTGAAACATGGCTATTAGCTTATCGTTTGGTTATAATTCTCTTAAATTTCAACACGGAAGAAGTTTACACATGAGTGTTGAATGTGGCCATTCTTATCGAAATTTATTATGACTTGCGACCCAAAAACTGATGGAAAGGTCGCCAAAATTGGTGGGAAAATAACCGTTTATATTCGCGTAGTCTAGAGAAACATTCACTTTCCCGTCTAGTTTTTTTATAAAATCATAAAAATTTCAAACCAGATAGTAAATGCATGTGCAGTTGAATAAATTAAATATTATTAGAGCTTTCTCCACGAGATAAGATTGTGTCGAAATGAATCCACCTAAATTCAAAGCAAATATTCCCACAACACAAAGCTGTTTTCAAATAATGAATTTGTCAATAAAGATTCGTGGAATTTTTGGAAGATAAGCCAATCTTACCAGGAAAAGATTTCAGTGATATCTTTCATTGAATTATTTCTCATATAGACGAATTGAACCTAAAATTTTTTTTAATGACACAGGGTAAATGTCAAATTAATCGTTGAAACTATTAAATCGGGTTCAAAAATTACCATTTTCCTGACAACCATGAAGAAGTTAAAAAATAATATTGTATAAGTTAGGTAATTAACTCACTCTTTCTTAATCTGACGCGTTCGAGAATTTCTGATGATCAATTTTTTTTGCTAATCTGATCCTTTATCCCTCACAGGCGGCCTAATATATGGGGCTCATATTTGGTGGAGGTACTTAACCGGGTACAAGGTATCCCCCTGTATATTAATCTGCCGCGCTTTAGTAAATCCCCGCTTGGGCTCCCCTATTATAACCGCGTATCACCCTGCGGCCATTCAGCTGTCGGCACGATTCCTTACACCTTAGCTTGGGTAGGCTGGTCCACGGTGGCATGTTCTGCAAAGACTTTTGGGGGGGTTATAGTTCACCTCACCCTACTTATTTCTGCCACTGAGCAGGAGTCCGGCGAGCCCGACCGTAAGGCCACATTGGCTTCCCAGACAGGGCCTCCAGTCCCTTGGCGATTCCCCTATCCGCCACCTGCCACCTGGATACTGAATTTTTTTGAGAATTCAGTTAAGGTTCATACTTACGTTTTCAAATATCTGCTCGATAATGGAAACTAGGTACAGCTGCCGGTATGAGTCATGTCCGGTGAGAAGCCCCTACCTCAAGATGTAAAGTAGATGTGTAGAAATCTGTTATCAGTCTGTTATATTATTCGAGCCATCAACATCCATACTACGTAATTGCAAACAAAAGTTTCTATTCATTTTTTCCTGATACTTTCTTTGTCATACACCGACCCATACTTTACGCAGATACGATTTCTCCCACCGGCCATGACTCAGTCCGGTACAATCCATTTCCACCTGCTAAAAAAATATATGCGGATTCTCTGATATTTCTAATTTTTTCATGTGTTTCTTTGGTGATTTTTGTTTCACTCCATTCTACAGCGTGATCACCAGTTTGATTTTAGATCATGCTCCGCTATCTCTGATCCTGCCATCGTCCTTATATATTCACGATGGATATTTTTTCTCACATCTAAGGGTCTAGAAGTTTCACCTATATAACTTTTTTCCACAGGAATGAGGCATATTATAAATACAAAATTTCTTTTTTTCACTCGCATTTTCGAAGTTTGTGTCGAAAGAAATCTCAATGTGTTGGTAGTTCTAAAAGTTGTTCGTTCTTACGTTATATCTGTAACCGATGCGTCTCAGTTTCTCAGATAAATCGGGAACGTAAGATATGACGTTAAGTGTGAGGTATGTGTATTGTTGTTGGGTTTGTGGTGATTGTGGGAGCTGTATATGTTGTGTATTGCTTTAGTCAACTTTATTGAGAGCTCTCTCCACAAACTACTCCGAATATGTGTTTTGCTCCATAACCGTTTTAGTGGTAGTTATTTCCTCTTTCATATTATGAACTATCATACAAACATCTAACTATAACTTTTTCGAACGGTCATTTCATTTGACTAAAGAACTTATATTCATCTTGTAGAAAATAAATATTTATAATTGATGAACATTTTCTATGTATCCACCAAGGCAGGCACTAGCTTTCTGATACGTAGGTAACAATCAATACTAGAAATACATACAACCAATTGAAACATTGAATTGAGGAAAGAAGTTTAGCCAAATTATTGTTTTCATCAGGAAGGTGCTCCAAATGATTCTTTTATCTTGGTGTGTTCATATCAGTTTCATTACGTCAATATTAAAAAAAAATCTGTTTAAAATCTGTTTTAAAATCTGTTTTTCCGTTAACCGGCTGTCGCAGTCCTACGAAAGACAACCCTCAGAAGTCGAAACTTGTGCGAGCTAAGGATTAACGAGGTCTTACCTTTTAACGTGTGATTCCTAACACATTCAAATAGTTGTGGCTTTTCAAAATGTAATTCAATATCTTTCAATTGTAATCCTCATATGTCACCAGCATATAATAAATGAATAGTATATACAGAAGTATGTATCTTTCCATAGTATTTGTCCTAAAATTGACTTTAAGAGTGAACGCTTATATTACAAAGTGAAGTTGATTTATCATAGTTAATTTCTCTATAGTATTAACTATATCATAGTTAATTTCTCTGTAGTAGTAACATCAGTGTTCTGGTTAGCAGTTCAGTAAATGTAAAGAATCGATGTATCATTCGAAGAACATCCATCCATTTTATAGATAACACAGTAAAAACTGTAGTGCCTTAAGAAAATTATAATACTTTGATGTGACTTCCACCAGTTAATAGCAAGCGATACTTGCAAATCTTGTAAATTAAGAGAAATTAGAATAATGTAAAATTGCTCGAATTCGTTTTTTAGATCAACTACAGTTCATAAATATCTCTAACTGATTTCATATAATAATTCCAAAAAATCTCAAAGAAACAGTTCAGCGAAATGATGCGTGACGTCATCAGATATATGAAATGCGCAGCCGGCTAGAAATCGCCATTAGTTTCAAATGTTTATGTGTAAGTTCAATTATTTTCTGGTTGTATGTATTAATCATTCTATGTTGTGGGCAGATGGAGGATAAAAAAAAATCCCAAAAAGTATTGAATGGTTGCACTTATTCAATACGAAATGCACCAAATTGTACTTTTCAAATAATGAATAAGGTAAACAAAACTTACATCTATTACCGAAACATTACACTCGAATATTTGGCTATCTTTTATTTCTCATTGTTGAATAAAACTGAAACTTTGAATATTTGGATTTCATAAACCTTTTCCATCATTAAATTTGAATGAAAACCTCGGTCCTTGTTTTGATTGAAGTATTCCATAACCACTTTTGGTTATTCACTTGTCATTTCTGGATTGAACACGTCATTGAAACCTGTACTGTTAATCGCTCATATCTCGTGACGTCGCACGGCGACAGAGTGGCATATCTTGATAACGGTAAACGCTATCGATTTGAAATATTTCTCATCGTTTTCTGGATGACAGGCACTACCAATATGTATAAAAAATTCACAAAACTAGTTTTGACTGAACTTCCCTATTCTTTTGAAACATCTGGGAGTGTGGGGGTCTCCTACATAAAAACTACAATCTCTGTAGGTTGGTATGAGTTATTTCAATTACCAGTATTTGACAATTAAACAGTTCATCTCCTGAGCAGAGATGTCATTGCACGCCACTGAATTGATCGCAGCATATCGGTACATTTTACCGCATAACTTGACCAATACGTCCCCGTTATCAGAAAGTCGAATAAATCACTGTATCATTTCATTTCTTTTGCAGATAAAGAAATTTCCGAAAGTATGAGATAATAACATTGACAAATGGACAATCACGACCATGGAAAGGAACAAGATAGAGAAAGGCGGGTAAGTGATTCTCGAATACGATAAAACTAACTCCTTCGACGCCAATTTTCTTGTGAAAAGCTCGTTTCATGACATTTATTCAAGCTTATATGACACCGATCAAAAAGATAACCAATTAACATAAGAATATAGACCAGGCGTTTTAGTCCGTAAAATAGAAAGTAATTTGGATGTTCTCATGCATATACACACACAAATGTGTATAGTTCCGTGCAGTGCAAAAATTTTAATATTTATTGTAGAATTTTGAATATTAGCTGATGATGAACATATATAGGTTCGAAACATGTTCTAATTGATGGTTTTACCGCTCTAACATCTGATGGTGACATTAAATTGTGGAGACGACTTTGAGTTTTTATTATTCGCAAATCTTCTGCACTCCACTTTGAGATATAATGGACTTCTACCAGAAGTTCAAGATAATACTTATTGACAAAATGGTTTAGACTTTCGTTTCTGAGGTTTTTAGTGTCACTGTTTTTCGAGTTTGAAAGCCGTGGATTTTTGAAATTTCTTCCTGACGTTTCGCTGGCGCGAGTGGCTAGCTTCTTCAGAGGTTTAACCATCATGGCTTGCTGTCCAATGAGTAACTTTTAGGCTTCGTAAAGCGTATTTATGCCTTGTCAGGTAGTCAGTTGTATTGGTATCTGTATCTGTACCTGTATTTGAACCTGGAACATTAACAATTTTGCTGCCTGTTGTCATTCTGTTCGTTATTCTCGAATTCCTTAAAATGAGGTTCCATATTCGATTGAGGTTCACCGCTTCTTCTTTTCTGTTGAAATTCTCTGTGTGTTTGTGGATCTCTATTGCCTTCCGTACCAGTTGGCTATAATATCCCTGGTTGGGGGCAATTAATTTTGTGTTTTCAATAAAAATTATGTGGCCTCATTTATTAAGCGCGTGTTCTGCCACAGCTGATTTATCCGCAGAACACGCCTGTGGTAGAACACGCGCTTAGTGAAGGAGACCACATAATTTTGTTTGAAAACACAAAATTAATTGCCCCCAACCAGGTATATTATCGCCGACTGCTACAAGAGGCAATAGAGATCCACAAACACACGGAGAATTTCAACAGAAAAGAAGAAGCGGTGAACCTCATTCGAATATGGAACCCCATTTTAAGGAATTCGAGAATAACGAACAGAATGACAACAGGCAGCAAGATTGTTAATGTTCCAGGTTCAAGTACAGGTACAGGTACCAATACAACTGATTACCTGACAAGGCATAAATACGCTTTACGAAGTTAGTCATCAGACAGCAAGCCATGATGGTTAAACCTCTGAAGAAGCTAGCCACTCGCGCCAACGAAACGTCAGGAAGAAATTCCAAAAATCCACGGCTTTCAAACTCGAAAAACAGTGACACTGATAATACTTCTTATTGACCATACGACCATGTGGCAAGAACTCCTGATGCACTACGCCACGGTACTCTAAGAAAACATTGAAGAAAACCTGGACGTTTGATAGAACTTGGAGTGCTTTGTTTTTCATCTCATATTATTCAAAATCAGAAATATTTATATTATTCAAACAATATATATGATGTTTGTACAAGAAAATCGGTTCTGCGTGAATTTTTTTGAAAAGTTCTTCATACTGTGTTTATACCGGGTGACAAAGAAATCATTGTACACGGCGTCGTACAATTTATTATGAGGTAAGCAATTTAAAATTCGGAAAAAAGGTACGAGGACAGCTAAAAAAATAATTTGAATGTTCCAATTTCGTGGGCTACATACATTCGGTTAACTATTTCTTATGTTGGTACACTCGCCTCGAACTTATGCTCACAGTTTCAGCTGTTTAGCATGTTTAGTTTGTTGTTGAGAGGCATAAAAGTTAGAAGTGTTTTGCGTGTTCGGCGATTTACTGCTGTCGAAAAAAATAGATAAAAGAATTTGCATCAAATTTTGTGTTTGTGTAAAAAAAAATAGAATCAAGTGCTCAGAAATACTTGAAACAATGGCATATAATCACCATATGCCATATGTACTCCGATTGAGATGAACATTTACAAGTGGTATAATATTTTCACAAAAAGTCGAGAAGATGTGAATGACGACGCTCGCCTTGGACGCCCCAGAACATCAACAAGCGATGAAAATGTTGAGAAAGAAAAGAAAATTGTTATGGAGAATCGTCGAGTCACTATAGTTGGCTCATGCCATTCCATTTTTTTCATAAATTTTGGGCATGAAGAGTGTGGCAGCGCAGTTCGTTCCAAAAATACTGAATTTTGACAAAAAAAAAACTTGAGCATCGCTCATAACTGGTGAAAAATCGTGGGTATATGGTTATGACGTCGAAAACAAAGTCCAATCGTCCCAATGGAAGAGCCCAAGGGAGCCAAGATCGAGCAAATGTTCAGGCTTTGCTCACTGTTTTCTTCGATTACCGTGACGTAATGCATCAGGAGTCGCATGGCCAATAAGGAGTTATGCGCCGCTTGCGAGAACCAATACGAAGAAAAAGCCCGGTATTGTGAAAAAACAATTCATGGTGTTTGCATTACGATAATGCACCTGCTCACTCGTCATTACTTGTCCCTAATTTTTTTACCAAAAACAACATCGTGATCATGCATCAGACATTGTATTCACCAGATTTGCTCCCCTATAACTCTTTCCAATTCCCAAGATTACAGAGACCCATGAGAGAACGGCGTTTTGTGATGATTGAGGAGATAAAAACCAAATCGCTGAGAGACCTCAAGGACATACCAAAAAGTGCATATCAGAACTGCTTCGAAGATTGGAAAAACGCTATGGTACAAATGTATTAAATCTGGGAAACTTCTTTGAAGGGGACAAGATAGAAATTTATGCATGAATAAATATTTTCTGGGAAAAATGAAAATTCACGGGATATATTATATAAATTGATTTGAAATATCTGAAAGAATCTGTGAAAATTAAAAAAGGTTAGCTGAAAAAATAACAATTATATTAAGCAAAAAAAGTGAAATTACAATGAAATGAAATGCAAGCAACAACCAAAAAATCAAAAAAGTTGAGCTATTGACACGAGATAAAAATTAAAAATTTATCAACAAGAAATGAAAATTAACAAGAAAGTGATATTTCTTGTTAATAATTTTTTAATTCTCATCTCGTGTCAATAGCAATAACTTTTTTGATTTTTTGGTTGTTGTTTGTATTTCGTTTCATTGTTATTTCACTTTTTTTGCTTGATATAATCGTTATTTTTTCAGCTAACCTTTTTTAATTTTTACAGATTCTTTCAGGTATTTCAAATGAATTTATATCATATTAGACAATGGAAGTCCGAACTAATGAAATGCACCAAGAAACATTGTCAACTACCTTCAAACGAATACTGACACATTATTATGTCATGAACTGAACTATTTTTTGCAACATGCATTGGTTTGATTCATAAAAAAAATACCGAAAATCGTTTATTCGAATTCGTTGACTGGTCTAATATACCCAAAAGAGAAAGCACACCGTTGCAAATTTTTTATCAACATTATGTCAGAAAGTTAACATTATTGAGAATTCAGCAGAATCGTTACTGGTTGAAGTAGATTGATTGTTATTGATACCGTAGAAAGTAACATTAACAATGAAACTTACTTTGCGGTCGTTGACGACATAAAATCAATAAAATTCAGTGTCAACGGTCACGCACATGCCTCCAGTTTGCGTTTGAAGAATCTATTTCGGTAATACGTTTCGGAAGTCATATAAATACAGGAAAGACTAATATAAATTGTGAATACTTTCCGAGTAACGCCTTTTATCTCTTGACATTGCAGATATGTTAAACATCATAAAATATCAGTATTCCGCATTCGTATTTCCAACCCCATTCTTCTAGTGTTATTTCTCTTCCGAACCATGTTTGAATTTGCAGATATACTCTTTTGAAGTGTCCAAAAGCGGCATCTGCAGTAGGTGGCAAAGATGGCAGTTTAACGCTGGTATTTTCAGCGGTTGCTTTCAAAAATGAGTTGTATTTCAATGTATTTAGATCTTTTATTTTTTGAGGGGCACCGTATAAATCAAACGTGCATGTACCACTAGCGTTAAAAATATCATTAATATATTTTCATTCATTTTTAAAAACCTGTCGCAGCATTATTATTTTTATTTATTATTACCTCATCGGCACCTTTCTGGATAATAACTAGAGAAGGCACGATTTTATGTCAAGGAAGAGAAAAATCTACTCATGGCCCGATGACGGTACATAATGACATTCATACACTTATTTGACAGCCATATAAAACTTATTTGAATTGGAGGGGTAATTTTATTAGGAGAGAATAGTTTTCGGAAAACAGTTTAGCTTGCTACTCCTCTATCTTTATACAAAAATTTTGAGAAACTTTTTTACCAAAAACCTAATCTTTCCTAAAAAATTTACCCCTTTCGAAATTAAAAAAAAAAACGTAAGTTTTTATGAAAAAATCAACTTTTCTGTTCTTCCATTTGTGCACCTTATACATTTCAGGATCAACTTTTATGCAATTTACCCGTTACGGACGGGGTCGCCGGACTCCTCTGGTCAGTGGCAGAAATAAGTAGGGTGAGGGGAACTAAAACTCCCCAAAATCCTTTGCAAAACATGCCACCGTGGACCAGCCTACCCAAGCTAAGGTGTAAGGAATCGTGCCGATACCTGAATGGCCGAAGGGTGATATTCGGACACAAACGATCACCTTGGGGAACTGGGCGAAACCTCATTGTAATCAGCCTACCTCTGGAAATGCGGGGCTCTGCCAGACCAACTCTTCCCTTGCTACTCGTGGGAACACACATGAATGAAACAAACACAAAAACAAAAACAACAAAAACCAATCCCGAGGCTGGACAGAAGTGCTCACCTCAATATAAGACGGTGGCTGGGGTTGAACGGAAATGTCCACCCCAATCTACCATCTCCAACACAAAGAGCACTTCCTGCGGCGGGCGCCAAAAGCTCCGCCTTGAATAACCCTTACTTGTGCACCTCCACGTAGGG